TTCCTTATATATATATATATATATATATATATATATATATATAAGCCAAAAAAAGAGAAAAAAGTAAAAATTTAATTCAAATGAAGTGAAAGATGAAAATCAAAATGAGTTTTTTAGATGAGAATATTCAATATAGGTGGGTGAGATATTTTGAAAAAAAAATTCAATGAAAACAGTGAAAATACAATCGACTTTAGTGATCTTGATATTGTAAATAATAATATATATATTTTTAATTTTTGTTGTAGCTTTAGTATAATGAAAGTTAAGGAGACATTAAAGAAAATGATGTATGAAAAAAATAGTAGATGCAATTCCAATAGAAGTATGAAAATATTTAGGAGATCTAAGAATTTCTTAGTTTACTAAAATTTTTAATATTATTTTAAAATTAAAAATATTTTTGATGAGTGGAAAAAGAGTAAATAAAGGAGATGTACAAGAGTTTTTAAATTATAGATGAGCAAAGTTAATGCCCCATACATTATGTTATGGGAGAGTAATTAAACTTAGGTTATGATGTGATTCAAATATTTCTCTAAATCAATTTGGATTCATGTCAGACAAATTTACTAAGGAAGCTATTCATATATTGAGAGATTTGATGGGGAAGTGTAGAGAGAGTGAAGGATTTATATATGATTTTTATTAATTTAGAAAAATCTATGATAAGGTTCCAAGAGAAATATTTTAGAGAGCTAGAAAAGAAAGATGTTGATATTGCTTATATTAAGTTATTAAAGATATGTATATTAGAGCTGTTATTTGTGTTCAAATATAAGATGGATTGACCAAATTTTTACTATTTCAATTGGATTACATCAGGGATCAACTTTAAGCCCATATGATTTAGCTTTAGTTATGAATGTTTTTACTGGACATTTATCGGAGGATGTGCCATAGTTTATGCTTTTTGTTGATGATATGGTTCGTGCTGTAAAATTGGAGAGAGAGCTTACGAAAACTTGAATTATGGAAGTCAACTTTAACGTCTAACGATTTTCACTTGAGTAGATCTAAAACTGAAAACATGGAATCTAGTTTTAATAGTAGTAGATCTAATGACGGGTTTGTAACAGTGAATGATTAAGCTATTAAAAAGTGATGGTGATGTGGATGGGGATGCTATTAGTAGAATTCAAGTTTGATGGTTGAAGTGGAGGAATGCATTAGGCTTATTGTGTGATAGAAAGGATACCACATAGACTTTAAAGAAAATTCTATGAGCTGGTGGTGAGACCTGCAATGCCTTATGGTGCAAAATGTTGACTTGTAAAAGAGAATCATAAAATTAAGTGTTGTTGAGATGAGGATGCTCAGGTGGATGAGTAGCTTTACACTTAGAGACAAAATGGAAAACGAATATATCCGCGAAATGGTTGGTGTAACTCTAGTGGTAGACAATATTAGAGAGAGTCTCCTTAGATTATTCTGTCACATTAAATGTCGACCATTTGAAGACCTAGTTAGGAGAGTAGATGTTTTAGATTTTACTTATGTTAAGAAAGGTTGAGAGGTAGACCTAAAAAGACTTGTGGGTATGTTGTATAAAAAAGATCCTATTTTCTTAGAATTAAATAAAAATATGATATTTAATAGGACACAATGGAGAAAATGGATTCATGTAGCCAACCTTAGTGGGATAATGGCTTGTTGTTGCTGTATGTTCCAAAATTGTTTCCATTCACTTCTTTCTTTAATATCTTCTTGTTTTCTTCAATTGGGAGTCAGCTCATACAATAAATTGCAATTTGTATATAGTATATTAAGTCCAATTTTCATGTCATTTTAATTGCAATATTGTCACTCATCATTTATTAAGGCACAACTCATCCAACTAGGCAATCTTGTTACTTTTGGCTGTACTAATAAATTAAAATTTCTATCACAAAAAAAATAAAGAGGAAAGAAGCGAAAGAATTAGCATTAAAGGGCCAGCTTAAGGAGCCTGATTCAGACTTGGAACAAGATGCAGAAAATGATGCTGAAGATGGATCAACCACAATTCCTTCGGTTTCAGGTAAGAAAAAGCTTTGAAATACCTCTCAACTCTATTCATGATGTGTTTATTCTCCTGTAATAAAGCTTCAGTTATTGTTAATATCTAGTTCTTATCTTATAAAATATGATTTTCTTACAGCAACGAAAACATATGAAAATACAAATACGACTATTACAGTTACTACAAGCGAAATTGTTAATGAAAATGATGGCTTGGAGCCAGTAGATACAGTTGCCAAGCTGGGAAATAAATTGGAAAAGAATCATAAGCTTCCAGTTAAGAGAAGACCTATGAAAGGGTTAGCAAAGCGGAGGAAGCTACAGAAGAAAACCAGCAAAAAATTTGCATCTCGTGGGAAGGATGGAAGGAAAAATAAGAATAAGTGATAGTCAGAATTTTAGGTTATTCTAATGCATAACTTATTTATTTATTAATGCAAGTTTCTGTCATTATGAATACAGAAGGCTGAAACTCTGTGTCTATTTTCTGTGTTTTGATCATCAAATGCAACTAAAAGGAGAGTTTGGTAACCTGATAAGCATGCATTAAGTGTCAAATTATGCTAAACAATTTTATTTTATCTTTTGTCCTTGCATGTATGAACTTTATCGAACTCGTCAAGTTTCCAAATCTCACTTTCTATGGTTGGCAACGAACACAGCTTGCAGTGTATTTGGAATTTGGCCAAATTCAGAGAGTTTGGAACACACGAGAAATGAACTAGAGTGTGAGTTTGAAATTCTCAGATATTTTACTTTGCATTTCATTTTCTTCAATCCAGACATTCAAATTTTTAAAACCTTTGCATTTCATATGCGGTATACTCATTTTGTATCCAACTTAATTGATTCAAATCCACATATTAGCTATCCCACTTAGTGGGATAAAGGTTTTGTTGTTGCTGTAATTACCCAAAAAAAAAAAAAAAAAAAAAAAAAAAAAAAAGTGCAAAATACTATTAATTAGTTGTTTGGTTTGCAGAAAAAGAAATACAATGTAAAAGTAATGTTATGTATTTGGAATACTTTAAGCTCTTTGGTTTAATGTAAAATAAATGCAGGACTTGATATTTCTTTGTTTGGTTTAGAAAAAATAAAATCAATGTAAAATACATAGTCGAAGGGCAAATGTGGTGGACGATGATGTATAGCGGCCATGAGCAACGGATGACGGATGGCCTGCGGTGGTGGGCAACATATGTGAGGTGGTGAGGTGGTTGGCGGTGTCAAGCGGTCGCCGGTGGCACGGCGCAGCAGGGGCGCCGTGCCGCAGGTTTCAGTGGCAGAAATCGGTGGGGACAAGCCACGGCGCAGGTTTCAGTGGCAGAAATCGGTGGGGACAAGCAACATTTTTCACCCAAATTTAGTTAATTCCAAATTGATTAAAAATGAACTAGTGAATGAATCCTAAATACATTGTAATTTTACACTGCATTTGAGATTCATTCTTTCTGAAACTCCTTTGAAATGATGGAGTGCACTCCTTTTGACACAAACCAAAGAGATCATAAAAGAAGAAATTGTTGACTGAGATAACTAAAGCTTCACTATTGAATGGATATGCTAATTACTCGAACCCTTCGATAATAAACCAACATAAACATCCAGCCTAAAACCAAAGAACTGCTAGGGAAGCGCAATACATAACTAAAATTGCTGCTCAATAGTGGTGAATAGAGGAAAATGGTGTGCTTTATGTGTCATTAAACTACAAATGCATGTTGTATTACTATGATTTTGTTTTTGAATGCCATGCTTGATGTTATTATTATTTACATTGTTGACAGCTAATAACTATTCTTTAAGCAATTTAATCTGTGTTTGGTGGTATGTAAGGTTATTTTGGTGGATTACTAGTAGTTCTGCAAATTATTATATGACTTGCCAAATAAAATGAAGTTTTTTTTTTAAGATTATTAAATGCAATAGAACAACAAATCAATTAATGTTAAAGCTTCAGAAACTTAGGGTTGACTTTTAGAAAATTTGATATCTACTTGTTAGAAGGCTTTGAAAGTGTTGCTTTACTTTAAGATGCTAGTCTTTTCTTTGAAGGAACAAGCCTTGGCTCAAAGAATTGAACTTGTTGAATAGTTGCTTTGAAGTCGTGCCTTCGTTCTCCTTCAATTTTACACTCATTTAAGTCCTTAGTTTTGATACATATATGATGAAGAGTTCTTGTAGGATCATGATAAAAGAAAGCACCTTTCATGATTGTTGATAATTTGGAGAGAAATTGGTGAGGTTGTAAAGCGCTTTGTCAATATGAAGTGCTTGCCTTTATTTAGAGTTCAGGGACTATTTAGGCGAGGTATGGATTGAGTTGCATTTTGGTAAGAGCGGTGAAAGGTTTTGTAATGTTTACAAGACTTGTAGGGAAGATGGGAGCGTGGTAGAGGGCTTGGAAGATGGTGGTTTGGGGGGAAGGGGTTCTGTTCAACAAGCAAGAGCTACTATATATCACATTTTCTAGCATTTGTAGAAAACAAGGAGGATATGTAGTTGTTTTTAGGCCACTTACAAAGCTTTATATGAATTGGTGAAATCGATAAATAAACAAACAATAGTAAAGGGAAATTTACATGCATGCCATACAGTTCCTTTGTATTTACATATCTAATATCTAACGTTTCATATTTACACTTGTAACACTATGGCGGCATAAACCTATGCATGAAAAATGTGTAGTTTACTTTTAAGAAGTTAGTAGTGGTATTATTTTAATGTGATACTCAAGATTAGAGTGTTGTATGCTGACATGAAAGTTTAGGTGTTAGATATGTAAATACATAAGAATTGTGTGATATGCATGGAAATGCCCCTAATCTGTTGAATTACATCAGGAATCCGACTTTAAGCCCATATCTTATTGCTTTAGTTATGAATGTTTTTTCTGGACATTTGTAGGAGGATGTACCTTGATCTATGCTTTTCGTTGATGATATCCTTCTCGTGGATAAGACTAGCAAAAGAGTTCAGGAAAAAATTAAAATTATAGAGATTAACTTTAAAAGTTGAAGGCTTTTGTTTGAGTAGATCTAAAATTGAATATATGGCATGTAATTTTAGTAGTAGTAGATCTTGTGGCAGGATTGTAATAATGGGAGAGCAAGTCATTAAAAGGAGCGAACATTTTAGATATTTCGAGTCTATTGATCAAAGTGATAATGATATAGGGGATGTTATTAGTAGAATTCAAGTTGGATGGTTGAAGTGGAGGAATGCATTGGGCCTGTCGTGTGATAGAAAAATAATGCTTAGACTTCAAGTAAAATTTTATAAAATGGTGATGAGACTTGTAATGCTCTATAGTGCGGAATGTTGGCTTATAAAAGAGAAGCATAAAACTAAGTTAAGTGTTGTTGACATGGGAATGCTCAAGTGGATGAGTGGCTTAACACTTGGAGATAAAATGTGAAACGAAAATATTTGTGAAAGGGTTGGTGTGGCTCCAGTGGCATATAAAATTAGAGAGTCATCTTAGATGGTTTGGTCACATTAAACACCGACCATTTAATGACCTAGTTAGGAGAGTAGATATTTTAGATTTGATTTATGTTTAGAGAGTTAGAGGTATACCTAAAAAGACGGGCATGTTATATAAACAAATAATATTAAATTATTAGAATAAAATGAAAATAAGAGACTCAATAAAACACAACGGAGAAAATGATTCATGTAGCTGTCCCCACTTAGTGGGATAATGGCTTGTTGT